AGTGAGGAGGAGGATACCGATGCGAAAACCGGATTGGATGCCTCTCAAGAGAAACTCTGCAAATGCTTGGTCTGGGTTAGCTCGATAGCTCTTGTGCCATGTTGCAGCTTTAGTGGGGTGCACACTTGATAGGACTGTCGGGATAGGGGCTGTGGGGATACCGGCCGTTGCTCCAGAGTTAGTAAGTCCTCTGTGTAGCAGTAACCGCCCTGGTGAAGGTTGGATAGCTGTAACAGTGAGTAGCCGAGGAGAGGAACACCAAGGAAGCTGGTTGTGTGCAGCCAAATGTGTGGCTGCTTATTGAGCTGTGTTTATATATAATCAATAATTCATTTATATTGTACCTGTACGGCTAGACATTACATGAGGGATAGCTATGTAGGGTGAGCGGCGGCGGGCAACCCACGGTACTGCTAATTATAATCACTGCTAACTGTAAACTGATGTTACTGTAACTGGTAACTGGTGAGGGCTGTGTCCCTGCACGGCATGGGCAGGTATCTTCATCAGTCCTTCTGGCTCGCAGAGGCAGGTGGCAGCCGGGGGCTGCGTGCCGCGGCTGCGCGGGAATTGGACTCGAGCGCGTGAGTGCACTGTGTGTGCTGTGCTGCCTCTGCACGTGTCACGCGCAGATGTGCTGGAAGTGCAGGATCAGGAACGCACACCGGCCCCTGTCCACGATAGGCAAACGCGTTGCTAGGGACGGCTTTGCTGGGAGCTGCCAGCTTGATGGACTTCGAAATCTCCTCCTCGGATGAGGTCCCGGGAGGCTGCAGCTGGACGGGCAGCGGGGCCGTTTTTGTGCGGGAGCAGCGAACTAAGGCACAGGCTTCTGTGAGGTGGTCTACTCGCTGCAGATGAGCACAAGGGGTAGCTGAGAGTCTGCTCTGCGAGGAGATGTATCGATATGTAGAGAAGGGTCAAGCACATCCACCTAGCCTCGGCCCTGGTCGATTCGATGGAAACACCTGGTCATACGTGACCCACCCAGTGCCTCCATATTTTGAGCTCTCGTACTAGAAGGCGCAGGTCGGCTAGCATGTCTCTGACATGCCACGGGTTGCGCTGCTGCTACCACCGCGATGTAGGTGGAGACGCTGTTACCCAGGTCGCAAGGGCCCCAACCTCTCTGGTTTCAGGTGCCTTGCAGGAGACCTATGAGTGGGCAGTGCCTCAGCCGGCTCTCTGCCAAGGCGCTATTGTCAGGCAGTAGGTCACGCATTTCCACACATTCAGTGCGTGTATCGGCGAACAGTTGCCGGGATGGAGAGAAGATGGACGCCAGAGGAAATGGAGCGTGCGAAGCGGTCCTGAGCTAGGGGGCGCTGTTAGCTTGAGGAGGGGGGCTGCCGTCACGGGAGGCTGCCTGATGAGGAAGGCAGAGTGAGGGCCACACCCACCGTGGCTGTAGTGGGGATGCTAGCAATGGACAGTGGCAGGCCAGAGGTGGATGCGCTGTGGCACCGGAAGGAGATAATTAGGCCAGCTTACCAACACCGGTGAGACCCCTCTGGCTGCAAGCAAGCGGCTAGTGGCATGCCGTACGTCTGATGCCGCAGTGGGGGCTGCAGAAAGAGGGGCGGGGTGCGCGTATGGGATGTGATTTGCTGGTGCCAGTGCGGGCCGGCTGCGGCGAAATGCCAGCGGCCTTTTGGCGCCCCGGGGTGCCGCCGTACGAGTGGCTTGGGTGCCTTGCCACGCGCCAAGGAAGCGCGAAGGGTGCCGGGCAGCCTGGGGGTTAGTATAGCCTACAGAGTGGGGAGCACGGCAGCTGTCCTTGGTCTTTTCAACTTACCCTTCGCTCGTGGTGCCGGCTGCTGTGTGTAATGCCGGGTGGAGTGCGCCGCTATCTCTCCGGATCATCTTCCGTAGCTCGTCCGTTGCTCCGTGGAGAGTCGCGTTCGATCTCCCCGACACCGTCTCCGCCAGTAGCATTCGTCAAGGAACGAAAGAGGAAAAAAACGACTGAGCGCTGCTGCTTGCCTGTCTCGCGATATAACGCACGTGTACGGTGAGCAATTGCGCACGCGTCAGAGCGGCTGTGGCCCCAGCTAGTTAACCTCGTCTAATGCATTAAACGTCATTTACCGTATAGCGGGAAATTTTCGCGGACAGGTAGATGTGCGCGAAAATAAAAATCACGGAAAATTTTGAATAGATATGACGTCACTGTTGGAAAAGCGAATGCGCGGGGGCGGGGCTAAGAAGCCACCAGCTGAATCGAGATAGCGATGGCTCTTTATCGCTATTTTCAACCTGCAGCAGACTCACTTCCGGACCCCAAAGGACCTCTTTCAACAAAACTCACATCGTCCACGATAAGAGAAGCTAACGAAGCCGTTAGGAGCGCCGCGACGAAGCCGTCGGCGAAGAGAGGAAGCTACGCTAAGTTCACACCTGAACAACAGGCCGAGGTAGCGAAGTACGCATCTATGCATGGGATTACTGCTGCACAGCAGTCCACACGTTCAGCGATTACACTCTGCAAAAAGTTGGGCGTGGTCTTACGTTGGGCGCGTGCGCGAAATTAAAAAAAGCGAAAATTTCTGCTGGAGGCTCCATATGGATGGATGAACCCGCGAAAATTTCCCGCTATACGGTATTTTGTCGCTGTGTCTATAGTACCGGTACCGGACCTCGAAATATTGCGCTGTAGTACCGGAACAGCGCCCGATTCAAGGTTACCGCCTACCCGTCGTCCTGAAGAACCGCGGCCGCGATGGCCACCCCCGACACCCCCGACAGCCTCTACCAGCCTTGTTTCATTCTGTGTTGGCGAACTCTTTCATAGTTTCACCGACCTGGAGGACAAAATCAAGTCTTACAAGGAACAGGCATTTTGTGAGTTGTGGAAGCGGGATGCCAGGACAATTGCAGCAGCCAGGAAGCGCATGGGAAGGCCAATGAAGGAAGAGTTGAAGTATTATGAGTTGAAGTACTGCTGTATTCACGGGGGGCAACCGTTCAAGGCCAAAGGCAGAGGGATTAGGAGTACTTCGTAAGCCATAATTATACCTACTCATGCATGTAGCTAGTGCCTAGTGGTTGTCATCGGTCGCAAGGCTGCCCTTTCTACATTTCCTTGAGAGTGAACGTGGACGGTAATGCACTTGAGGTGAAGAGTGTTTGCCAAGAACATAATCATGAAGTCTCCATGGCAAGTTATTCCTGCTGCTCAGCTGCTTTGAGGCTTTAGTGGTCACATCTGAGCTAGCTTCGGTTGCAAGTGAAGCTTCACACGTGCATTTTCAGCGACGGCTTGATCTTCTAGGGGATTTAATTTCACACTGGAAAAGTGCACATGAAGTCACCATCACTGAAGTGGTTACAGGTAATGGTTGTGTGGCTCCTACAATTCTGTGTGTCTTGAATATTTATAGATGAAGAAAGTGAGCTGGAGAATGACGAGTGACGATGAAGTGATTTGTTCCTCTGTGGACTCTGAGAACCCCAGCAACCATGCATCTGACGAACAACCTGGACCTCCAGCAAGGAAATCCCTCAGAACTGTGATCCCTGTGAGGATGACGAAGAAAGAACACTAGGTATTATTTTAGCTCTTACATACTCGTGATAAGGGCCAAATGTATATATGAGGGGGATATTTTACTTTCAGGGCTAACTGCCTCCACTAGTCAAGAAAAGAGGACGTCCAAAGGGGCATGGGTTAACAACGATTGGCCTTCCAGCTAAACGTGCTAGAAAAGAAACTTCTACGTTACAAGAAGCCGTGCAGTTTTAGCAAACTGCACGTGTCTGAAAAAGAGAAAGGTAACATTATGAGTATAGTGTTACGAGCATTATTTTATGTGTTGGCTATGCTTTTCGCTTTTATCCAATAGTTATATTGTCATGGTTTGTTGATGAGAAAGTGGCAGAAAGAGCCCTGAAGCACAACGATCTTATAGAGGAGGAAGATGTCGAATGTAAGCCTGAGAGGTTGCCTGATTCCGTTCTTGATGAGAATGTGGACATTCACCTTGCCCGAAAACACTTTACAACTGAAGCTTGGATGTTGGTTCAAGAGGTTTTCAAGCCTAAATCTGTTCACATGGCCTGGATCTGTCATTCTTGTCACCACAACCTCCATTCTGAGCAATCTATTATTTGTGATTCATGCTTACTTTGGTTTCATTTCAAATGTGTTGGATTAGTGAGACAGCCTAAGTGTAAGAATTGGTTTTGTAGGTCATGCACTGCAAAAGCCAAGTAGCAGATCTGCGTTTTGTGTATCATTTGTGTTATCATTTGTGTGCAGTTGTTTCACATTGTATTGTATTATGGAAACCGACATACCACACACGCCCGCGCGAACTGGCGGTGCTGTTCCTTGTAAGACTTGATTTTGTCCTCCAGGTCGGTGAAACTATGAAAGAGTTCGCCAACACAGAATGAAACAAGGCTGTCGGTGGGTGTTCATCGCGGCCGCGGTTCTTCAGGACGACGGGTAGGCGGTAACTGAATTCGGGCGCTGTTCCGGTACTACGTATAGGTTAGACGCTGAGCCGCGGGAACTACGCTATTTAGTGAGCCGAGGAGCCCTGAGCTGTCGGCGTCCCAAGCGTAGCGAGGGCGCTACTAAGGGCTCCGAGGCTCACTAAATCGCGTAGTTTCCCAAGGCGACGCGTCTAACCGGCTTAGACTACAGCGCAAGTCCGTCCCGCTGCAGTGTCCGTTGTAGGCGTTGCTGCCCTTCGGGATCGCGCCGGCCGGCCGTCTGTGCGGGTTTTTCCCTGTACGCTTTCTCTAGCGTCTTCCTAGCTCTCTAGTAGTCATGCGCTGCTGCTAGAAGAGGCTGTTCCTGGTTTATTCGTGGGAAGAACCGCTCCAGAAGCTCGGTTCACCGTCCGCGCGCGTGGCGTCTTTTCGAATTGAAGGCGTGGTTGCCCGGGGGCTACCGCGGAAGAGGTCACTAACAAAAATAGTAACCGCCAAACTCGCAATCTGATTGGTCAATTGCGTGTTACCGTAGTCTAAAGCGCAATATTTCGCGGTCCCGGTATATATACCGGTACATACTGTAGACACAGCGTTATTTTGTCAAGGAAGTTAAGTGCGATCCGGCGCAGAACGCAGAGGGGCGCGGTTTAACATCGGAACCGCACCCTAATCGTGGCTCACCTCCTCCCTGCCCTACGCTGGTCGCTTCTCGGTGATGGAGTTTGAGGTTGGTACAGGTCTTGTTCAAAATCCTGGCTTTGTTTATGGGAGTTCAGCTCCTGACTGTCACTCTGAACCCCCGCTGGTAAGTTGTTTTAGATCAATACACGGTTTACTTCTGAGTTTGTACGCCATTCCAATCAATTAACCCTCAGCGTGCAAATGCAACGAGGGTTACAGTGCTTTCACTGTGTGTCTGTATGTCCACCTTGTACTACAGCTTACAATGACTACCTGAAATAAAAAGGTGATTTTCCTGAAAAGACTGGGTTAGAGCGAGGGTTAGAGAGATATGCTGATATACAAGCGAAGTATGCAAAATGCACTGGTTTGCCTTGACCTGATCCGCTAGCTCTTTTTATCTAACAGGTATATACAAAAGTCACAACAACTGGGGGGTGGGGGGTGTTGACTCCTGCATGCTATCTACTGGTTTTTAGCCAGCCTGTGTCAGACTCTGCGAGCTATTAGAGAGGTAGACTACGAATCTATTTGACAACACTTAGTCCAGCCCATCAATAAGGATATTGGTTTGTGGGGCTAAGGTTTGGTAAGTACTACCTGAAGATGTGGGTAATTAAGATTGGTACGTTTCACTTTGAATTTTCAGATCCCAATTTTAAACTATTTGTCCGATCTGCATAGTGTTCGAAATTGTGGTATTATTACAAATAATTGGTATTTGGTTATTATCGCAAAAAATGATGAAATATTTGGAGATGCCTTAAAAAGCAAGGAGACAAGACAGGGGTGACCTAGTGTATGTGATGCAGTATGATGGCTACATATTTCAAACTGGCATTGTACATTTTCCTCCACACAACCCCTATACTTTTACTCACAACATGAATTTGTTTAGCTACATGCTGTGGACGATGGTGAAGGGATTCTCTGGAGGGCTAAGATTCTAAAACTAGCTACTTACTTGAGCGAACATTGAAGCCTTTGACACAGCAAGCCAGTCACAACCCAAACTTGCTTATGGTCAGTCGAAACTTGCTACAGTGCTATACCACGATAATAGTTCATAATTAACCCTCGGTGTGCATGCGCAGAGAGGGTTATAGTACTTGGTGGTCTGTCCGTCTGTCTGTCTCTGTCTGTCTGTCTGTCTGTCTGTCTGTCCGTCGGTCCGTCCGTCCGTCTGTTACAACATTTTCAGCCACCACGCGCAACAAGCAGGTAAAATAGCGAAACCAACAGGTTCAGCACTACACTGGCTTCATTTCTAAAATGGCGATTTTCGTAAAAGTGCCGTGTTAGACTTATGGCGTGATATGCTAATTAGCAGAGGCTTACCTCGACTGTGTCCGCTTGTTCTGTAGATGTTGAAAGCACAAGAAGTCGCAACAAACAACGTGTATCGACTCCCGCATGCTATCTACTACTGTTGTTAGCCCGTGTCAGACTCTCCGTCAGCTACTTGTGGGAGACCATGAGTAAACGCATACTATCATAGCCCAACCCATCAATTAGCGCTACCACGCATGCGCAGTTCGCCGAGGGTTTGCACTTTAGTGCTTTTCATTGGAAGAAGTTTGTAAACAACAACAAACAGCCTCAGGCAATAAAACCTGTGAATGGTGTTTTTGTGGTTTGTCCTCTAACCATGAAACTTGGTATGCCTATATACTATGCCTATAACTTGCATGTGGTTGTTCCTCTAGCTCACTGTGAAACTTGGAATGCAGATTTTCTATGATAAGAAACATAAATTACACGTTTGTAAATGAACAACAAACAGCCTCTGGCAATTAAAACTTTCAAATGGTGTTTGTGCCTATAAATGACTTGTGGTTTGTCCTCTAACAATGAAACTTGGTACACTGATGTACCATGATGCGAGTTCTTCAAAACAGAAATTACAAGTTTGTAAACAGCAATAAACAGCCTTAGGCAAAAGAACTTGTAAACTGTGTTTGTGTGCTTATAACTTGCTTATTGTGGTCTGCTAACGTTGAAACATTGTACACTGATGTACCATGATAAGAACAGAACGAGTTTTTAAACAGCCTCAGGCAATAAAGCTTGTAAACTGTGTTTGTGCCTATAACTTTGTTATGGTGGGTCCTCTAACAATGAAACTTGGTACCATTATGAGAGTTCATCAAAAGAGAAGTTACAAGTTTATAAACAACAACAACAGCCTCAGGCAATAAAACTTGTAAAATGTGCCTATAACTTGCCGGTCCACTTACCTAGTGCACTAATGTACAATAAAAATGTGAATGACGAAAAACCGTCTGAGGCGATAGCTACTGCTGTTAATTTGTATGGGCAATATGCCCCACTTTTTAATGCATGTGAGTGCTGTAAAAAGGAAAGGGACAGGTAAATAAACAATTCTTCGAATAAAAAAATGGTGAATGTGGGGATGGTAGAAAAAGCAAGGAGACAAAACCGGGGTGACCTAGTGAATGTCATGGAGGAGTACAATGGATGATGGCTAAATACTTCGAACGGACATCAGTCGGCCGTGTAAAGTTTCCTCCGCACAATCCTTATATTGTCGCCACCTTTAATGAAAATTACTGAGGTGCAAACCCTTGGCGTATTATGCCTGCGCGGTACTAATTGATGGGCTGGGCTATGAGTGTGCCTTTACAGGTCTCCACGCTAGTTGGTCGTGGAGAGTCTGACACGGGCTACTTACACTATAAGATAGCATGGCAATACGGGAGAGCCTTTGCGGTGACTTCTTGTGCCTCTGCAAGGTACAAAGAGCAAGCGGATCGGTCTAGGTAAGCTGGTGCAATTATACATATTGGCTTTTTCACTTGTTTTCACGGCATATCTCTCCAACGCAGTCGTTTCTGGAAAATCGCTTTTTTCCTTATTCATGCTCGTGTAGTCCCTGTAGTGCGAGAATAGCTGCTGACAGACAGACAAACACACACCCAGACCAAGTACCGTGACCCTCGCTGAGCATGCACGCCGAAGGTTATTAACTGACATCAGTATATTTAGTGAGTGGTATAAAGTGAGAAGACAACGGCGAAGGAATTCTTCAGAAGGCCAAGAACACAACATTGTAAAACTGGTTAGCTTAGTGAATGTGGAAGTCATAGACTTCACACAATGCAGTCACAACTCATAGCCGAGAAGAGGCCATTACTTGTCTAACGTAGTTAACCCTCGGCGCTCATGAAATGACTAGGAAGGCTGGCTTCTCTTGCCAATAGCAAGGTAGAATTGTACAACCACCACCAATTTAAGAGTGGCACATCAGGCAACAATAGAGATTGTGTTATGGACTTGTGGTATCAGTGTGCTATCCATCCCTATCTTGCCTCCATTCCTTGGTATACATACCATCCCAATTTAATTTGCAGGATATTTTTAGTTGTGTGTTTCAGCAGGAGCTATACATACAGAACAATAATGTTTTGCTATTGCTAACAGAGTTAAAAAGTGCCATTTTAAGGATCAAACACCAAGATTTAGGGAGCTTGAGAGCGGCACACCAGGCAACAGTAATATGTATTGTGTTGTGTCAGTGCGTGAAAAATGTTTTGTAAACCATTCTTCTTACACATTCCGTCCCTATCTTCTCCCTTCCTTTGATATGACCCATCACAGGGTTTAATGCATTACACTTGTGAGTGTTTTGCTTTTGAATTTTTATGTTCCTGTAGAGTGGGTTTCTTAACAGAAAGTGTGTGGTTGAACCTGGAGGAAGAAAAAGCAAAGATCGGTCGTGGCAGACATTCTGGTGTCAGCTAAAAGGCGTTTCTCTTGAGTTTCATAGGGTATCCCAATGTTTTGTGTCTAAGGCTACTGCATAGTACACCATATGACAGCTACTTATACTTGGGGGATGTTTCCTTTGTTTAGTTTAACACATAAAATGTGTATTGGTTTGAGAGATGTAACATTGCAGGTTGATGGTGTAAAGAGCGAAGGGTCCAAACCCCCTCCCAGAGATATTTTCCCTCCTCCGCACATGGTGAGTAAAGCCAGTAGTATGCACAAACCATATATGCGTTCAGAGAAATGTTGTAGCCACCACAATACCTTTTGCTTACATACGTACAGCTATTACATTAACGTCATAATATTAACAAGTTTTGTTTTCATGCGTGGGTGGATGAAAAGCACCTCCACACACTATATCAGGGCAGACTACGCTTAGTGCGTGCTATATCAACTTCCTAGATCATGATTTATTCCGGCAACGTACTTGACAACTGGCTTGTTTATCAATTGGCAATATCTTAGTTGACACTAAAATGTCTGATTACTTCTGCCTTTGACTCCACCAAGAGCATTAGTTTTAATGGTAGACATAATTTTGCTCTGAATTGTGCCTTTATGCCATGATGTTGACACCATTACTGTTGCTAACCCAGACACTTTTGTATCTGGGTGTGAGGATTAGTCCTCTCTTTATCATACTGATGCTCTTTTGTAAAGATGATAATTATTGTAATTTATTATCACTCAATTTCCTTCAACTGCACAATTGAAACTCGCATACAACATGCACGCAAAGTATTTGGTATTACCAACCATATCCTGGGCTTGCATCTTTGGGCTTAGTGGCACCCTCGCTGTTTCTGTGTAAGAGAACAAAATATCCAGGTCTGTCCAGGGGATAAATAACAGGCTTACATCCTACCTGTGTCATTATTGAGAAATCATAACTTGTAAAAAGTAGTGTAATGGTATAGAAGTATGAGGTACATAAGGCAAAGCAAGTTCAAGGCATACAAATCAACAACCCGTAAAGTAAGCAGCCCTTCATAGGACATGATACCACAGACCCCATAAACTCGTGGTCTCCCGCTAGTATCGTCTGACACGGACTAGCTACAGCAGTAGATAGCATGTGGGAGTCGATACACGCCCTTCGTTGTGACTTCTTGTGCCTTCAAGATACACAGAGCAAGCGGACCCGAGCCAGTTCAAAATATAAGCGCATGCACCTTTTCCGCAGCGATGAAAATGGCTGACTAGCATTAGCCGTACAATGGCAGAAGCGCTCTAGCTCTGCAATGGAGCATTTTCAGAGAAAACTGTTCGAATTTTCAGACCTTCATTGCCCGTTAGGTAGGTCGTATCCTTTGTGAGACGAACAGACACTCGAGAGGTGAGATTGAGAGTGACGGACAGACAAACCCAACTACAGTACCCTCGCTGCGCATGCGCGCCGAGGGTAATAATACCAAAAATGGTAACTAGTACAGTTCCTTCCCATTTTGCAGCTTAGAGAGGCTGGTGTTAATTTTAAGGACTGCAAACATTTTTACACAATTACCATGTCTAGGAATTGACATCAGAAAACCTGATCTTGGAGAGGAATACTTCAAAACCTCTATCAAGGAGCCCTATCTTCATAATAATAATACTCAGATGGCTGCCATAGCACTAGAGCCATAGACCACGCACCCAGAGCAATGGGCGGAACCGTTAACAAACGAATATACAGCATATGAACATGAGGTGTCTGTCTCACCTCCCAGACACCTCAACTCACCCCTTCCACCAGCGATACCCTGCAGCTCCCCAGACGCAATCTGAGACTGGGTCTGTTGTATGCTGGGATTATCGCTGTATAACCTAACCTTACTTAGCTCCCAAACATCTGAAATAAAACCTTTAACAAGGCCAAGCAAAAAGAAGCAAGTTTATCCTCCCACAGCTCACTACCCAATATTTTAAGCTATCAAGCGACTGGAAATGCTCAAACCCATCATCCCCAAGCTTCCCCTGCAGGGCAACTAAGAAATTGCTCCTAAGACTACTATATTCTGGACACACACGACTCACACTTTCACACTCATCATCACACAACAGGCACTCCTTCATCCCCTCCCTCCCCCTATGCCTACCCAGTTCCTCATTTAGCCCATGTGTGCCTGACCTGAACTTAAACATTAATCTAGACCCAGCATCACTTTTCCCATGCAAGTACTTTTTGAACTCTACCACCTTGTTGAATGTCTTATACAATAATAGCTTTACTTTGCTATTTAACCCCTCTTCAAACTTTCTAATCTCCCTATCATTAGTACTGTCCCCCACTATAGACAGAAAGGCCTTCAAGGGGCAATCCGCATTTTGCAACCACTCTGCCTTGTCAAGACCTAATGACGGAAATAGATCATCAATGACCTTACTCCCATCCCTATCTTGTCTCCCTTTCTTTTTATACCATTCCTATATGCCTCTTTTGTTTAATTCGCAGGATTTTTAATTTACTTGTAGAAGTTAAGCACTTCCTTGATAGGCTCACAATGGCTGTGAAGTTACGAGTGTTCTCTGTCTAGCATCGGGGCATGGAAGCATCATTATGTAGTGTGCTGGTAACTTTACCAACCTTATGCTCTACGTAAGGAGTTAACGCTGCGTGGTTTTGAAGCCACTGGTATCACTCATAGGCTGCCTCATAGCCTGTAGTGCCAGAATAAGCGTTGACAGACACACACACAGACCAAATACTGTAACCCTCGCGTCGCATGCGCACCGAGGGTTAACTGGGCATAAGCAATCCAGTGACGTAATAGCTGCATGCCTGTTTGTATTCCTGCACCACACCATATGCTGTCCGTCATTGTGTGAAAATAGATATTGCTTATGCTTGTGCCCTTCAGAATACGTAGTCTAGATATAGATGTAGTATTGCTTCTTCTTCAAATGAGGGCAAGGGCATCAGTTGGACAACACCAATTAATGAACAACCGTCCGTGTGTTATTGCATAGTGAACATTTAGGTCTACAGCCAATGGTTGCACGAGAGTACACTGACGTGCAAATGACAACTGTAGTAACACTCTTGGTACAGTTCTGCAGATTGACAGAAGTGCTGAGAAGTGGCCTTGTGTGTAACACAGTCGTCTTTATCCGTTCAATGTCGGAGCTGCCACCCAATTTTAAAGCCCATAGATCGCAAGCAAGAGAAGCAGGAGCTATGGAACATGAAATATACAGTATATTACCCCTGCGCTTGCACACTGATGTCTGTATATGTCTGCAGTTGGGTTACTCCCACTCGCTACATGTTCCACTAGTATCACTAAGTGCGGTAGTACTTAGTATATAGGAAAGGCCATGGTACCTAGCATCATAGATGCACAGATGCATGTGGGTATAATATGGAGTTTTCTTTTTTGCCAGATGTAACTCAAAAAAGCCATGAAATTTTGTAGGAATGTATATATTCATTACGGGCTTTGCAATGTCATACATATTTGTTTTCCCATAATAACTCTCTATTTTCCGTAACTGTCCACTAACCTAACCACTAATTGTCTCTCTTATCCAAACTGATAGCTTGCGCGATTTGTAGTACACTTAGAGCTGGGTGATTTAAATCTGATTGGTCCTGCTCGGACTCTAATTTGCTCGAATTAATTAAAAAAAGACGGAGTTGCGAATCAGATTGCCACTATATGTGATTTGTGTATATGTTTTGCCCATGTATAGGGGTTTTACATTCATTTTTCTCTCTTTATGTTTCTACAGCCTCAGCACAAAGCAGGATTTGTATCTGTTGACGGGGCTACAGCAGAGGATGATTACACGTCTCAGATTGGCAAAGATCTTCAAAAGAGGAGAAGCTGGCTGTTTGAGTTAACTCTCCCTAACCAGATGATCTACCTGCTGCAAGCTCCTAATGGCACACAAAGAGCTCAGTGGTCAGTCCTAGAATTTACCACTGTGCATATACACTTTATGGATGTGCAGAATTTTGCTAATGAAGGGAGTAGATTTTGTGATCACGTATGGCAAGGTATATTTCTAGAAACCAAGCGTTTGAGATAGAGAAATTGTTATATAACACAAACTGTTGAAGGTTTTTTTGCGAATGTGTGATTTCCACATGGGGAATTTGGCACAATACTACATAATGGTGAAAGTACAGTCATAAAGCAGCAATCTACCTATGTATAACTGAGTACGGTACGACCTGGTATATAGGGATGGGCATGGTACCCAGCATCGTATTAGGCTATGATAGGGAGGGTTTGTTCTTCTCCTTCTTCTCCTCCTTCAGTTTCAACTCAAAACGAAACAACATGCAGCAATGAAATGTTGTAAGAATGTAGATATCAGTCACTCGAAGAGACTGTTCATACTTATCACTAAATATGGTAGTAGTACTTAGTATGTAGGGATAGGCATGGTACCTAGCATCATAGATGTATGGGACTATGATAGGGAGTTTGTTCATCTTCTCCTTCTCCATCTTCTTCAGATTGAACTCGCGTAACTCAAAAATGAAATAACTTTTACTAATGAAACTTTGTAATATCCATCACCCGAAGAGACTGGTCATACTTGTTTGTAAACAAACATTGTTTACTGTAAACAACAACAAATAGCCCCAGGCAATACATTATAATGGAATCACATGTGTCAGTGTAACTTGCAAATGGTAAGAGGTGTATGAAGGATACTTTGTATACGTAATGTATTGAATCACCAACATCAAAATCACAACAATGCATGTTCGTAAACAACAACAAATAGCCTCAGGCACATTGCTTTAATTTCTTCTTCACTTCTCAAACTTTCTAATGGTAGCACGTATAGTGAACTTGGTATGCATGCATATCACCCATGACAACTACATGTTTCCATGACGACTGAACAACAACAAAGGTCGAAGTATTAATTCGTAAAAAGGAGGGGGTACGAAAAAATGAAAAATAGACAAAGAAAGAAACACTTCAGTGCAAACAGCGATATACAGGTGGAAGGGTTCCCCCTCCCTGTTGAAGCTGGGATGTCTCTGTATGTGCCACGACTCCAGGGCACACCTTCGAAATTAGTTGTTCTCATGGTCAAGGATTGAAGTAGATTGGAAGTCTACTTGATGGCCCTATTTCCAAACATGCTCAGCCACAGCAGACACATCAATCTTCGCATGTTTCACTGCTGCCTTGTGCTCGCTGAGCCTGGCCAACGTAGACTTTAGAGCAGGTCTTACAAGGAATGGAGTAGACTACATTGGCTTGTTTGAGAGGAGGAACTGGGTCTTTGACTCTGACCAGTTGTTTTCGAAGGGTAGAAGCTGGCCTGTATACAACCCAAATTCCCAGAGGGTAGAGAAGACGTATCGCCACCGACAGACCCCTAACATAAGGAATTGCAATAAACCCTGACCACTCATTTCGTGTACTTTTTCAGGTATGTCAGGCTTCTTGTTTCTCACCCTATGCATGAAACTCTTTGGATAGTTGTTAAATTTGAGGGTCTTACATAGTGTCTTATGTTCGGTAGTTGTATGTTGGGTGGTAGAACGCAGATCCTTTGCTTGGTGAAAGGATGTGCTCACTACAGCTGCCTTGTGTGTTAGGGGGTGATGCAAAGAAAATTCTAGAAACATGTTGGTGTCTGGTAGAGATAGTACTGCTGTTGTTGTGATGTAGAAGAATGTCAAGGTAAGGAAGTTTGTGATAAGAAAACTCCCTTTCAAGGGTAAACTGAAGAGATGTTCGATGTGGTCCAGGTCTTCAATGTCAGCAACCCGAACGGAACAGCAAACGGAACAGCAAACATCATCCACATAACGTTTCTGGTAATTATGTGTCATTACGGTTATAACGGAAGTAGGCGGGCAAGCACGCGCATACAAAACAGACGCGCAGCTCAACAGCGCTCACACTATCGTGTATCGCAGTGTTTGCAGCGTGTTCTGCCCGCAAATGCCACTCAAAGTTCAAAGTTCTTTTTTCCGGCATCCCGATGGCCACACAATCAGATCTCCGTAACGCAGACCTGGACTCGGTGCTCAAGACGCAGCTCATCCAGCTATGCAGGGACAACGGTCTCCCAACCGGTGGTCTGATATTGTCTCTGGTCGCCCGACTGTTGACCCTTCGCTCCCAGCTACCTCCCCTCCCCGCGTCCTCCGCAGCCACCGCCAACGTTGGTTCGCAGCAGGCCTTCGGATTCCCGCAGACCGCCACCGCCGGCCTGCCTGCGACACCCGCCGCCACCTCACTCTCCGCTGGCGTCCCGCACCTGCCATCGCCGTCCACTCACGCTGGCCCTGGCCTGCAGCCGTCTAACCTGCACATGATGGCTCAGCAGGCTGCGCAGCAAGCCGCGGCTCGGGTGCTAGCGCACTTCGTTCCTCCGTCGGCGTCCGCGTCCTCCACTGCCTTCGCCCCAGCCCCTCCCCCTTTCCCGTCGACTACCACTCTACCGCAGCCCACCGCCACCGGGTCCTCGCTGCACTCCAGCCAGGTCTCTTTCGTTGGCTCTGCCCCAACTCTCCCGCCGCTGCTGGGATCCATGGCAGCCCCGCAGTCTTCCAGCCCCAGTGCCACCACTGCAACCTCACTGTCTCTCCCCCCAGCATATACCTGGACTGGCAGCAGCTTGCCCTGTGGCTCCACCCAGTCAGACATCTGTGGCCCCTCCCACCCACACCCCAGAAGCAGTATATACCCCTGCCCACCTACCCTCCCCTCCCTCAGATGGCTCCGTACAGCGGCTCCATACCCACCATACCGGCCAGGTTTGCTACCGCAGCGACCTCCGGTGCGTTTGTGGATTTTTAATGAGCTGCTGCATGCCCTAGAGTCGGAAGGTATGGAGGAGACCCCTGTCCAAATTGAGCTAGGGGAGGACAATAGGCTTACCCTCCCCAGAATACCAAAGAAGACAGGTCTCCTCCTTTATCGAGTGGGCAAGGTGCTTTGAGGTCTACTCCCACTCTTTGTCATCCCACCAGCCACAGCGGTTAACGGACCTCATGGCATACCTCTACCTCATCGCCACATGCCATGCAGAGTACAATTATCTGCATGCATGGCGTATGACGTTGCTTTCAGGAGGAAGGCAGCTAGGTTTCGCCTTGCCTCCTGGGGCGAGATAGACCCACAACTTTACACTCTAAGGCCTTCACAGGGTCTGGCAAAGCCCGCCCCAGGGCCTGGTGTGACCACTGCATCACTTCCTCCCACTCTTCCTCTGACTGCCCTCTTTTTTCCTCTAGTGGGCCAGCCAAGAAAGCCAGGGTCCCCAAGGCTGGCCCCACACAGACCCAGGCAAGGGAGATCTGGCGTAATTACAACAGAGAAAGGTGCTCCAGGGACGACTGCCCACGCCGTCACTTGTGCCTCACCTCCGGTTGTCATGGGTCACACCCGGTGACCTCCTGCCCCATCAAGAGATTTTCCCCTAGGAAGCAGTGACTCTCTCTCTACCCCTCGGCCATCTCCCCTACCACTTCCTACCTTAATCTCTCCCTATCTCTTCACCAACAGTAGCCGACCTTTCCACTGGATCCACCAACAGCAAAGGTCACAGCCTCTTATTCTCCCTCTTCAACACCTCCAACTTCTTCCCCCACTGCCGCCTCACTGTCCCATACCTCCAACCCACACACCTGTGAGCTCACCACTGCTACCTTCCCTCCTTACAGGTCGCCCCAATAGTGACTTCACCACCTACCTACTCCAGGGCTTCACCTGGGGATTCAAGGTCGGATACACAGGCCCAACTATCGACGCCCTTCCTCCAATCAGCTCTCAGCCCTGGCTCGGCCACAAGTTATCGACAAATACTTGGAGGCCGAATGTCAAGCAGGGCACACTCTCCCCTTCCCTCTACACAGCTTTGTTGTCAACCCCCTCGGCGCTGTTCCCAAGAAAAGGTCAGGGAAATGGTACCTCATTACACCTTTCCTACCCACCAGGGAGCAGTGTCACAGACGGCATTGAAAACAATGACTTCCCACTGCGCTATTCCACCATCTACGATGCCATAGACCTCGTGATATGCCTTGGTCAGCTCTGATGGCGAAGATAGACTTCAAGAGTGCCTTCAGACTCTGCCCAGTCCATCCCTCCGACCACCACCTCCTCGGCATGAAGTGGAGGGGCTCATTATATTTCAACCGTGTCCTTCCGTTTGGTCTTAGGTCCCTTTCATCTTCAATTGATTAGCCGAAGCCATAGAGTGGATAGCTATGCTGCAGGGAGTCACCCACATCCACCACTACCTGGACGACTTCTTCGTTGCTTGAACGCCCGACTCAGAGCAGTCAGTGCTTACAACACCTGCACACCCTCGTCTCCCTTTGCACTGCCCTGGGGGTCCCACTGGCCGACGACAAACGGGAAGGACCAACCACTTGCCTTGAGTACCTAGGCATACTCCTTCACTCTGCCTCCCTTGAAGCCCACCTCCCCCCTGATAAACTCCAGGACATACACCACTCTCTGGACACATGGGCAACCAGTTCCAGCTGCTCCAAGCGAGAACTGCTTTCCCTTATTGGCACCCTAAGCTTTGCAGCCAAGGTGGTCCCAGCTGGAAGGACCTTCCTTAGAAGGATGATCGACCTCAGCTCCTCCGTTGCCTCCCTAGACGAGGTCATCCCCCTCTCCGGGGACTTCATGCTCGACCTCTGGTGGTGGCAGAGTTTGCCGCCCCGTGGAATGGTCGATCCTTCTTCCTCTTGCCAGACTGGACCCCCTCCCCCCACCTCCAGCTCTTTACCGACAGCTCAGGGACCACCGGGTTCGGTGCCTACTGCCAGGGTGTGTGGTTCAACGGCCACTGGTCTACGGCTCAGTTGGAACGGAGTATCCAGTGGAAGGAGCTCTACCCAATCGTGCTCGCAGCAGCAGTTTGGGGCGAACAGTGGCGTACTCTACGCATCCGCCTACTCTGCGACAACCAGGTGATAGTGCATTGCTCTAGTGTCTGGCTCCTCCCGTTGCCCTCACATAATGTCTCTCCTCCGTACCCTTTTTCTCTTGGCTGCTAAATAGAAGTTTACTATGTCTGCACAACACATTCCCGGAACCCACAATATTTTTGCCGACTGTCTTTCTCGGTTTCGCATGCAGGTGTTTTGGTCACACGCTCCACAGGCCTCACCCCAGCCAACCCCTCTCCCTCACTCTATGACCTACTACTTGCATCACTCCCTCGCATCATCCACCCGCGCCTCGTACTCATCCGCCCAACACTGTTTCATCAACTTTGCCTTAACGTACAACTGCCTGAACATGACAGGCTCCCCAATCCCTGCCTCCGAGAACACCCTTATGCTCTTTGCCACATATCTCACACACCCACAAACCTCAGTCTATCAAACTCTACCTCTCCGCCGTCCGCACACTACACCTTGAGCACAGTCTGCCAGACCCAACATCGGAGGCAGTCAACCTTCGACGCCTGAAGTGTGGCATCAAATGAGTGCATGAGAACACCACAGACTTCCGGCTTCCTTCCCTCTTACGCTCGTTTCGCTCCTTCCTTAATCTATCCTACTCTGACCACCTAACTCTTAGGGTCGCCATACTACTTGCCTTCTTCGCCTTCCCCCGCAGCGGCGAGCGAGCTCCTTTCACTCCACTGCAGTGACCTGCACAGGACAGCGGACGGGTACCAGGTGCACATCAAACAGTCCAAGACGGACCCGTTCCGCTCTGGAGCTGTCGTCACAGTGCTCCCATCTGGCGACCCTTCCTTCTGTGCAGTCACTGCCCTGGACTCCTACCTAGCGACCCAGGGCCCCACAGAACGCACTCTGTTCCGCCTCCAGGCAGCTGCTCTCATGCGCCAAAGACTCAATTACCTAATCAGAGACCTGGCCTCGCGGCGCGGAGTCGAGTCACAGCGGTACTCCTCCCACTCCTTCCGCATCGGAGCTGCCTCAGCAACAGCCGCAGCTGGCATCCCAGACTGGAGGATCCAAGCCCTGGGCTGCTGGAGCAGTGACTGCTACCGGTGTTACAACCGCCTGCCGAACAGCGAGACCAACGGCATTGCAGCAGCCCTAGCAGGAGCTCCCCTATAATTCACAGCCAAGTAAGCTCCTAAAGCCGGACCCTAAATGTTTGGGGCAGCACCTATCTTACCCCTCCCTATGCATGCCTAAGGCTTTTCAGGGACAGCCTCTCCTCGTCTGCAGAGTGGCACTCAGGAACGAGACGCACTTCCTCTTCGTCTCCAGAGTGGCACCCAGACTGTCACCTGGAACGAGACACACCCCCTCCTCGTCTCAAGCGTGGCACCCAGACTGTCACCTGGAACGAGACGCATTTTCGCCGTGCCCAGCTCTGCCAACAATCGGCACCTGGCCGGCTGTAGGCCTTCCCCTCGCTCCCAGCTCTGCCACTCAGCCAGGCACCTGGAGCCGAGACGCACAAAACACTGTGCCCAGTGCCGCCACCCTCAATGGCACCTGGCCGGTCACAGAGCTGCCCCTTACAGGTCGGGTTCGGCCAAACAAGTAGAATAGGTTTGCCTCACATGGACTGCTATCACGCTAATGATTGTTTTAATGGTAATTAATGTCTAATTACTGTTAAAACGGAAGTAGGTGGGCAAGCATGCGCATACAAAACAGACACGCAGAGCAACAGCGCTCGCACTATAGCGTATCGCAGTGTTTGCAGTGTGTTTTGCCCGCAAAAGCCACTCAAAGTTCTCCCACCCACCCTCCACAGTCACATACTTTTTTAACTAGAGAAAGCCTCCTACTTGGACGGTAATGCATTAGCATACCGTAGGTGAGCTTCAGCCCGCTTGTTAGGGGCAGCACCTATCTAAAAACCTATACCCCTCCCTATGGCTTTTCAGGGACAGCCTCCCCTCGTCTCCAGAGTTGCACTCAGACTGTCACCTGAAATGAGACCCACTCCCTCCTCGTCTCCAGAGTGGCACCCAGACTGTCACCTGGAACGAGACACATTTTTGCCGCGCCCAGCTCTGCCAATACTTGTCGCCTTAGATATTCCCCCTGCACAAAACACCGTGCCCAGCACTACCACCCTCGATGGCACCTGGCCGGTCACAGAGCTGCCCCTGACAGGTCGGGTTCGGCCAAACGAGTAGAATAGGGTTTGCCTCATAGAAACTGACCGACCCTGTAAAGGTCTCCAAGGCCTTCTCCTCAACATATTCCACCACCAGATTTGCCACCACTACAGATACAGGGGAGCCCATAGCTGTGCCATGAATCTGTTGATAAAACGGTAAAGTACATGGCTTTGAGGCATAAAGATAGGAGGGAGACGATGTCATCAATGCTCAAATTAGTGTGCTCAGAGAGAAATTCATCTGACTCTAAACAAGAGTGGGCAACGGATATAGCCAATTCCACCAGTATTCTTGTGAAGAGGGAGATAACATCACTCTGCAAACGCACCTGTTGTATAAAGGATGCAAATTCTCTGGAGTTTTTAACAGCAGATGGTGTGTTCCCAACCAGTGGGGATAGTAGCTGCACAAGAAACTTTGATAGCTCATATGTGGGGGAGGAATAAAACAAAACAATCGGCCACAGAAGTATGTCAGGTTTATGTATCTTGGGGAGTCCATAAATCGATGGGGTTCTCCCTGATGAGCACCTAAGGGTATAGTATTTGGTGGTAGGTATCTTACGATCTTTCTTGAACTGGAGGAGTGTGGCGTTCATCATGGGGTGGGATCCTTTTCAAGCAATCTGTATGTCGACTCGTCAGAAAGGAAGTTGGTCATTTTATCCTCGTACTTCAAGGTATCCATGATGTTTGCTGCATTTACCTTGTCGGCAGATAGCACTACCAGATCACGATCATTCTTTAATTCTTTAAGGTGATGGAGAACATTAATGATGTTGTCATTTTTCGATACCATGCTGGTATTGTTCATAAATGAGAGGCAATTAGAGGTTAATGAATGACATCGTCTTTTCTCGGTACATGACTGGTACAGTCCATCGAATAACATTACATCTCTAGGCCGCCTTCTTTTTAAAACTGCAGGTACGATTAATACACACAGCGTATACATGTGCATTGGCAGTAAAACTGTGGTTAGGTCATGGGCTTTTGACTTGGAAACACTTTTGAGGCCTTCTGTGGTTTCCCCCAAGGGATTGGAATAGAAGCCACATTCTCAGAGCATAGCAGACCCGGTCGAGGTATATACCTGTGCAGCGCATAAGCGCATGCATATTATCCGCCAGCGATAAAATGGCGACTACCGGCATTAGCCATACAATGCTGGAAGCGCTCTAGCTCTGCAACGGAGCATTTTCGGAGAAAACCCCACATATTTTCTGACCTTCGTCGCCCGTTTGGTAGATGGCATCGTTTCTGGGACGAACAGACACCCGAGAAGTGAGATTGAGAGTAACAGACAGACAGACGGACCCAATGAAAAGCACTATAGTACAAACTCTCGGCGAATTGCGCATGCGTGGAACTGCTAATTGATGGGGCTGGGCTATTTCGTGGTGGTCTCCCGCTAGTATAGCTCGCGGAGAGTCTGACACACCATCGTTATGCATGCATAACACATGAATAGCGGAGTAAACATGTTTGCAGAAACCACCAACCAGCTGATTTTTTTACAGCTGTGTTAAAAGAGAATGATGTATGTACCTACATCTGGTAATCGGTATAGCGCCATCTGGGCGCCAGTGAATGAAGTATCGATGCTGCGAAGATGTTCAGCTGATAAGGAATTGAAACTGAGGCCAAAAAATATATACTGACACCATTCACAAAAGGTGTGGCTGTTATTTGCTTTTGGTGGTAAATTATCTTACTGAAGACTTAGTTCCCTCACCTACAGTATGAGTCAAAAAAAGTTAACAATAGTAACGTTACTTCGAAATAAGGTAACGTTACCGTAACGTTAACACAAAGGTACTTAAGCGTAACCTGAGCGTAACTTTACCATGACCTGCAGGTGACTACGGTGTTACTCGAACGTTACTTCGCTACCGAACCTGGCAGACATGAATCCGGAGCCCACCGTGCTTTACAAGCGCCAGTTCAGTGCTTTGACAACCCGCAAAGGGGATGAGCGGCGTAGCAACACGTGGCCTCTCTAAGAGCCGCTAGACCTGCCTGCACCCGCCTGCCGCGGTACAACTCGCCGCCAGCCTAGCACGGACGCACGTCACTTTTGGCCTATGTGCCAGCGGGCGCGTGGCACCGCCCCCTTCAATTAGCAAAATAACTTCCTGATTGAATTTCACATTCCAACAGCGGTAGACCACGGCCTACTCACAGTCTAGTCCTGTATATAGTGAGCATAAGATAACTAGTTATGTTGCTATGGTGTGGTTGAATGTACATCACATTATTGGTGAGCGAGAGTGATCCAACTAGTACAGGAGGAATATTATGCTTAGCTATTTTGTTGATAACATTCATTAAGAAATTTTAGGACGATGATGTGGTACAAACGGTTTGATGATAATGCTTAGAGAGGCCTATGTACAATGGTGATAGAGAGTCCGAAATAAGACAGTGATGGTTGTAACATCTCAAAGCATTTTTGGACACAATGGTGTTCTACACTTGAGTTTATTGCCTGGATGATACAAAGAATATATAGTAACTGTAGAATGATGTACATCTTAGTCAAGCAAAAGTAAAAGCAAAGCAGAACAGTGACCCAAAGCACACTTCCAAGCCTTGCCAGACTGCAATCCGATCAAAACAAGGAAGAGCTTGTTGAAGGGAGTCGTAAATTAGAAGCCTGTAGGTCCCCCATTACACTCTATCACTTTAGGGAGTACCTTACGTAGATGGCCTATGTACGTTTGGCATTTATCCACGGTCACCTGACTCCAAAATCTACGAATCCACAAGTTCTTCCTTTTTTTTGGCTTCACAACCTTTTGGTTAAACTCTTTCAACTCATGCCACAGATTCTCTATCGGATTGCAGTCTGGTGACTCGGGTGGAGTCTTCCACCAGTTAATTCCTTCTTCTTCAAACACTTTCTGTGCAAGCTTGGAAGTGTGCTTTGGGTCATTGTCCTGCATGAACCTGTGACCCTCTGGATACACCCTCCTCACAAATGGCACTAGTGCCTGTTTGATTATTGCATTATAGCCCTCCGCCGTCATGATGCCTTCAAAAATGACCACATTTGTGGGGCCTCTCATGGAAATCCCTCCCCACACGTGCACCTTGACCGGGTGCTTTGGTCTGCATCGAAGGGAAACGAAAATTTTAGTCAACAATTTTCAGGAACACAGTTAAATAATATGAAGTGTGTCTAAAACGCTAATTAATCACACGTAACAACAACTCACCTAGGCTTTGGTCTGGGGGGCTGCCCAACACGTCGGCACGCATGGCGGCGATGCGTTTCTAACTGAACTGAACACTCATCAGTGAAAATTACGTTATCGAAACCCCATTCTCCACTTCAGGAAGATACTCTAATGCCCACTCCAACCTCTTCCCCTTGTTCCCCTCCCTAATTAGTTGGCAGTACGCACTGCCCCGACTCGTCCACCCCAGTGCTTTCCTGCACCGTAGTACAGTTGAAACCGAAAGAAGTTGTCCTTTTTCCTGCAAAATATTTGCAAGTTTTCTCATCATCGTTTTCTAGTTCATTGTCAATTGTTTCCTTTACACTCTCCGTAATTTTGTTCGCCTCCCTGACCCACTCTTTCTTTCTATTGTCCCTCGTTCATTGTACCTCTTAATGAATTTTGACACACCAGGCTTGCTAGCAGTAATTCCCTCTTCATGTATAGCTCTAACAATATCGCTCACACCAAGTCCTTGATCATGGTGGTATAAGATTCTTCTCTTCGCATACTAACTGAATACCATTTTTCTATATACCGCGGCATTCAGCCAGGAGTCAGCGCACCAAATATTCGGATCGTATGCGCGCGTGCGCGAGCGAGCCCGGCCGGCCGTATACGACCTCTGAACGCTTGCTCGTATATACTATGAGTTACGGTGAAAGAACTGGAGAGAGAGAGCATCTATCTTTTTCGACAATGTTGCTACTTACTATGCCCCAGGAATGTTTTGGCTACGCGCGATATACGTAAGTGACGTTAGTGTAGTCGCGTTTCTGAGCGCGCGCAACCGGTCCTAGCTCTACGAGTTCAGCACTGGTTAAGTGACTGCAACGAAGCAGCTAACAATGGTACATAGCGACACTGCTTATAAACTCGAACTTGCGAAGGATCGGGCATACCTGGATCTGGCATTATTCAGTAAAAACCGAGCCAACAGCATCGCTATATCCCTGCGGGTATATATATACCCGCTCCCGGTATGTCAATTTCCTGTCAATTTCTCGTCCCAACGGTTTAATACAGCTTATACACACATGTATAATAATAAGTGAATTATAATAATTATGATGATGACCTTACTAACTGGTTATGCGATGTTTAACGCAAGCATGATTGATAGCGGTTTTACATTTGCTCCACACTGTATCCTCGAATACAGCCTCGTTGTTGTGATAAGCCGGGCAGAGGGAGAAAATGATTCGTCGGATTTTCTGGAGGCCATCAGCGGGTAAGGGGGAGATGCCATGTACTTTCCCCCCAACAGAGCAAGTTCCCATCATGTCTTTTCCAAAAATGCTCTCCCGTGCCAATGCCACTGAAAGTTTCCCCATTTTATGGTCCCCTCTCAATTTTGGATGCTTCCTCACAACGTTGTCCGGAGACAGTAGAGCAGAACATGAGGTGGAAGTAGAGGGAAGATGAGCAGAAGCAGGGTTTGGGGCAGATGGATCGGAGAATGATGGGATAGGAGTAAGAGGGCCGGGGGCCGTAGGAATGTGAGTAGAAGCCGGAGGGTGAGTATTTCAGTATCTGTCGGCGCTCTCACTCCGTGAAGGCCTGCTCATTTTACCCCCAAACCAGGTAGCATCTGTAGAGAAGCAGGGTAGGAGGCAGCAGTTGGGGAATGAGGCACTGAATAGGTAAGATGAAGGGGAGCATACGGTGAAGGATAAAATGCGGGGGTCAGGGGGTAGGAAGGGTACATTGATGATGGTTTGTGTGGTGGATAAAATGGATTGACTAAGGTCTCTAAAATAGATAGCATCCTCTCCTCGTTATCAATGATTTTTTGAAGCATTGATTCAGCTGTAGTCGGGTAAGAAAAATTGGGATTATTGATTCTGTACTGTATATATACATAAGTGGCTTAACTTGTATTGTGGTTTACTCTTGCCGACAGTTGGGAAAGTGGAGGAAGAGGTGATGGAAGAGGAGAGGGGGTAGGTGAATAATCCACGTGATTGGTAGACATGTAAATGGGTGTAGTTGACGATGTGAAAGAAATGAAAGCTGAGGAGGATACAGAAAGAGTAGAAATGGAGGAAGTGGAGTTGATGTGTCATGGATAGATGTAAGGAGTGATGGGGAGGTGGAGAGAGTGCTGGGGGAAGTATATGATGTAGGGAGTGATGGGGAGGTGGAGAGAGTGGGGAGTGATATGGAGGTGCGGAGAGTCCTGGGGGAAGTATATGGTGTAGGGAGTGATATGGAGGCGGAGAGAGTGCTGGGGGAAGTATATGTAGGGAGTGATGGGGAGGTGGAGAGAGTGCTGGGGGAAGTAGATGTAGGAGGTAAGGACGGAATTGATGATTGACCTACACAAATGATCTCTATCCCTGTATAGATACATAACCAGAACAGATGACACATAACTTCACAGTGCCATACATTATATACCATATGCTTTCTGTTTACTTCCTTTGTTTCTTGGAATTTTCTTCTTTTTGATTTTATTCCCCACTCTTGGCCGTTTTGACACTGGGTGTATCAACTATACAAACACAGTTATGAGAATCAGCAACAACTATTCTTGCACGTGCAACTCGTGCATAATAACCTGCCTTATTTTCCTCATTAATTTTCGTCTCCATCTTTGTCCTGCTGCATGCATATGTATTAAATGTATACTGGGGGACAAATAGTTATTGAAGGGAATACAGCAGTATGTATGGACTGAAATGTAACTAAAAACGGAACCATATTCCTTTCAAATTGTGTATAGCACAGACCTGAAGATGTACTTTTGCATGGAAAGTCTTCTTTCCTACCATCACTGGAACTGTTGATCCTATCTCAACATCACACCCAACACATTTTCCTTCTCATTGAGTCTTCCCCTGAAGGAAGTGAATACAGTATGCCACGTTGTTAACCCTTGGCGCGCATGCGCAGCGAGGGTTACGGTAGTTGGGTTTGTCTGTCTGTATGTCCATGCTCCAACTCACTTCTCGATGGTATATTCGTCCCACAAACAATACGACGTAATAAACGGGTAATAAGAATCAGTTTAATCGAACGGTTTTCTCTGAAAATGCTCCGTCGCAGAGATCTGAGTGTTACCAGCATAGTACGCATACATTCCGTCAGCCATTTTTTACTCGCGGAAAACGAGCATGCGCACGACCACATGGCCGTGCGGAAGAGAAAGACGTTTGTGTGTGCCGTGAGTTACGATTTTCCCTGGCTATCATGCCTCCTGGTTTGCCCACAATGTCAAGCTAGTGTTCCACTAAAGCTGAAACTGTGTAAATGTTGCCAACATGTGTTCCAAAGTAAGAGAAAAGCAGAATATAGTTTGTCTGACCAAGCCACGAAACACATGAGAGTGTCCAAGGCCACTAAAAGAGCGTCAGAAACAAGCGAGCAAAGTGTGCATTGAAAACAGCAGGACAGAAAGTGCAAAGCAAGCACGGGAGCCAATGAAACAAGCGAGCAAAGTGTGCATAGAAAAAAGCAGGACAGAAAGTGCAGACAGCCTATTATTGAGCAGTACCACGCATGTGTATAGGTTCAACATTTCTAGTTCGCCGAGGGTTTGCACTTAGTGCTTTTCATTTACTACAGTTGTGGTTTACTCACCATCTGGTGGTTTTGTTTGACGCTAAACTTGTCGTGCAGTGGTCATTCTCCTCCGTGGAGCGTCGTCGTCCATTACGTATGTGTGCGTGAGGGTGGGGTGGGGCTGCTGGCAGCTGCCGCTGACCGCCCGCGCTCTCTCTCCCCGCGAAAACCTGCCGCCCCCGCTGCACGCTCAAGCGAGGCGCTAGCTCAGCTCATCCGCCGCGCTTTGCTGTGCCGGTTCGTTAGCCACAGTGAGTGCTGAGTCGATCGGTGGATATGTCGACGGCTAGCTTGACGGCAAGTTAGGGTCGCTCGCAGTGCTGTGTAACGCTGTATGTGACGCTGCTGCGCGTCATTGTGCTCGGGATAACAAGGGCGTACCCAGTGTACATTCCGCTATGAGAGTAACTTGTGCGCTTCAGTGTAATGTGAGAGAGACTTGTGCGTGACTTTATAGTAACCTTACCGGTACTTCTTCGTAACTTAACAGAACTTCATAATTAATAACTAGTAAGTAACTTTGCAAGTAACGTTAACTTTTTTTGACTCATACTGTAGTTCATCTCCACTGTCACCACCTAGCCCTTTGGCACAACAATGTAGATTAATACCATGGGAAAGGTTGCCTGGTAAAATGTAGCTATAGAGCTGATCCTTGCGTCTAAGAATTCGGATGCCGTTCGCAATGTTAGCATGTGAGATGGAACTCCAGATGCATGTGCTGCCAAATAGAAAACATCGGCGCACACAGTGTTATAGTGGACATCTCGAATCAAGAAGGAATCTTCAAGTCCATGAATCCATACGCTTATAACAAATATTATCGGGAATTATTGATCCAGCTAATGTTACTTACCTTTGCAAGGGGGGTCGGGCTACGTTGTGTGCTTGGAAAGATAGACCCATATCTGGTTGCAAATTAAAGGGAGGTGACGGTTTACTATCCGCAACACCGACTATCACAAACCTTCCTCTGCTCCTCAACTCCAATTGTGCAGCAGATGAAGACGAATTTAAGCGTTACGTCGGTTAGCGCGATGATGGTTAGCACCGCAAGTGCTGCTACCCATAAAATATGGATAGGAACTGTTGGGGCTGACAGGAAATCTCTGTAATCGCTCCGGACGAGCCCAGTCTTGAGTTGTCTTCTGCGTGGGAGCAGATACAGTTGTTGGAGATGGTCGTTCTGAGAAGAACGGGTTGAAGCAGACTAAGAGCTGCATAAAACAAAGCAAAACAATAATTCTTCGGCAAGGCATCTTTCCTCTGAAACTGTGCACTGTGCTGTGCAGCCCGTGCGCCGTCACACCACAAACACCTCGCTATGGACCACATCGAGCCTTCTGCAGACCTATTGCCTCTAGCCAACCAACACCAACCAAACACAAAACAACACAACCAACCAACACAATTTACACCTCTGGCACTAACTTTCCACCCTGCACAGGTGCGTACGCTGCGCTGCTACGACCCATGGCTACGATGACGGTTTCTTCCTGCTGATCTAAGGCGAGGCTGGGCGGGTCTGAGCATATTTCTGTGCGCATGCGTATTAAGGGGCGCGCTTAAATAGGTGGCGCGTGCTTGAGCCACTCTTCCATGCGAGCCATTCTGGCATAATACACCTTCTCAACGGGTTTTCCTTCAAGATCTCTTCTATTGTCTGCAACAGGACTTGTTTAGATCGTACACCTTGGCCAGAAGGGTGACTTCTGTCATCCCCCATGACCCTTATTTCATCGATTATGTCATCCACTTTTATGTACTCACCTTCCAGCAGAAGCTGCATGCAATGACCAGCAATTATTGACAGATATGGCAATCACCTGGTCCAAAAAATATACCGTTCCCCAATTCTTTAGCACCCTCCCACTGAAGGCGCCCTTCAGTTTGTGGCACATGTCGAGTATATCGCTTTTTTTCTGGGCAAGGTGGCAGCCACAGCCTATAGCCCAGCCAATTGCACTGGGCAATTCCCCAGATGAAATTATAGAATCCAATTTCATAAACGCCTTCTCTTCCTCGTCAGTAGTAGAAGCCAAAGATGGAGACTCATATGGCACAAGCACTGCTCTGGATGTAAATCTATATACACAGAGATTAAGATTTTGAAACCTTACAGGGTAAGTATACCTTTCCTTTTGGAGGGTGTAATTTGTTGCCACAATTGATGTTGACAGGGGCTGAAGAGAGCCAGCCTTTAGGTTGGCCGTCTTACACCCGTTATAAAGGTCAACCACAAGGTCACTCAGATCACTTCCTTTGGCTGATTTTGGATCGCGAATGGTAGTGAAGATAGAGAGACTCTCTCAAGGAAAAAGGCATTGGTGCCTTTGACATAGATGATGTTGTTAGCACCTGTCAACAGTTGGAAGCTCGGCAGCAGCTACACATGTAGTTAGGAACTGCACCTGTCAAAGACATGGCAGTTTTTATGGCGGTTGATTTTCCGGTCTCACTCTTGCCGGTAGCAATGATCATAGGACGTCCAGAATTCAATTTTATGATGGCCGAATAGTGGAGCGACATTATGCACCCAGCCATCACCACAAGACTACTGACAAAATTGTGCTTCAGCACAATTTTTAAAAGAGGAAGTACTTCCTTGAGAGCCTAGGCATCGATGGCATGATAGTTTTGTAGATGTGTAGCTGGAAAAGGTTTGGGATCGTCGTGTCGCTTTACCGCATGTTTTCTAGTTCGTCAAACAAGCCGTTTCTACCTGATCCGGCCCAGGAAAAGACCAAAGAGAAAGAGCTTGAGGTCACCAATGCCAATACGAGAGTTTAGGAAGCTATGGAGTCCCAGCTGCGACGCAAACGTCCCAGATGTACCTACACATACTACTCGCCTGAATTACGTGCTAAAATTGGTAAGTTCGCGGCCGAATCAGGCGACAAGGCAGCCGTTGAGAAGTTTTCTAAAGAGGTGGGAAAGCCGGTGAGCGAGAGTACTGTACGGGGTTTGAAGAAACTCTACTGGGCGAGCCTGTCACGCAACTCTAGCACGGTCTTCGTGGACGACCACTCAAGCTTGGGGATCCAGATTCTAATGTTCAGGATTATATTAGAAAACTTCGCTTATCTGGTGGAGTGGTCAATAGAGCTATTGTTATCGCTGCCGCTAAGGGGGTTGTTGAATACAACAATCCTGCATTGTTGTGTAAGCATGGAGACACAATTCCATTGGGAAAGAAATGGGCAAATTCTCTGTTATCACGGATGAATTGTGTTAAATGCAAGGCAGCCAAGGCTGCACGTAAGGTTCCGACGGATTTCCCTGAGATCAAGCTTGCCTTTTTGAAGCGTATTGTTGATTGTGTTCAAGTGCATAAGATCCCCCCAGAGCTTATTATCAACTGGGACCAGACAGGTGCTAAATATGTACCGACTACATTGGCAGAGGAAGTGTCAAGACAGATTGATGTTATTGGCAAAGAAGATAAGCGAGAAATGACTGTTCTTCTATCATGAACAATGTCTTGTTTTCTGCTCTTGATCTACTGTGGTAAAACAAACAAATGCCATGCAAATATTACATTTCCTCCTGGATTGGACGTTCATCATTCAGAGAAAGACTGGAGTACAGAAGCTACCATGTTACACTCCATTGACTGTGTTCTTCTCCCCTATGTGCAGTCTACCAAGCAAACATTGGGCTTGGATAAGGATCACTTCTCTCTTGCACTTTTTGACGTCTTTGCCGCACACTGGTGTGAAAGTGTTCTTCAAGCCCTGGAAAAACATCACATCAAATGCTGCTTTATACCACCTAATTGCACGGGAGAGCTTCGGCCACTGGATCTTACAGTCAATCAAGTGTTCAAACAGGAATTAAAAAACATGTTTTATCAGGTGGTATGCTGGACTGGTCAAGGACCAGTTTAGAGATGGAGTGCAGCTGGAAAATATTAAGCCAGATCTCAGCATATCAGTCATAAAGCCACTTCATGCAAACTGGTTTATTGAAGCTATTTCGTAAAACCAGAATTAAGGATTCTGTAGTCTAACACTGTTCTATCACTGGTACTGTAAAGTCACTTTTGCGTCATTGGTTCTGTAGTACTACTGTCCTCATGCTGTCATCACCAAAATCGCTAAAATAAAAGTATGTTTTATGGTTTACATTGCATTAATCGCTAAAATAATGGGGCGTGAAAATAAAGGGATTTACAGTATATCACTGGAGGACACATTTATATAAAGATGAGTGGAGACAAGTAAATTTAAAATCCTGCAAATATAAGTGGCATATAGGGATGGTATAAAAAGTAAGGGAGACAAGATAGAAATGGGATACATGAAGCATGGTTGACGAACAGATTTGAGCATGCTGACACCCCACAGCACAGAGCTGGAACTGACTTTACCCTTGGCGCGCAGGCACGAGCCATCAATCGCTCCACAAATGATTCAGCGTCGGATAAAGGTCGAAAAGTATGTGGGATTTTCTCTGAAACTGCTGCGTTCCGCAGTTATGCCCCCCCCCTCCCCCCAACTATGTGTAGTCTAGTTTGACAAAGACGCGGAGCAAGCTTGTACATAGCTTTGTAGACCCATGTATACTCTCTGTGTCCACAAAGCTCCCTACTTAGTGGTACTGGGCTTGGTGTACACTTGTTACAGCAAGAGTGAGAGGCCATAGTGGTATTTTGAAGAGGTTTATTCCTTGTGCTTTCGGCCTTCGAGGGCAGAGTTTGTAACTCCCTTCCAAACAGTCTTGTCCTGTTTTCTAATTCCTTAGCACAGCGTTTTGACAAGCCTGTTGATCCCATCTCTGAAGGTTGCACTTGCTAGGTTGATCACATTGCATTTTCCCACTAACATTATGCTCAGAAACAGAAACACACTACCAGCTCAAATATTCAAAGTTCCCCTGCCTGTCCACACGGCTAGGAGTTGTCCCCAGATCGTTTCCTCCATCCTCTGCACAATAAAAGTAAAGAGGGCCAGAACTATTTTAAGATGGAGGTTGTGTATGATGAAAATGTCGTGTAGATACTACCATGTTCCTGTGAATGTAACCATAGTAGTGTAAAGATGCAGCAATCGTCCTAAACTGCTTAAACAAACTTGCACACGTGAGACGAGCGCATAATTTTTTCTATAGAAGACAGAGAGAAACAGCTATTTTCTGTCGTCTATTGTAACTTTGCTAAACTGTCACATTTTTATATTAGGAGAAAACTTGGGTTATAAAGGTACCAAAAACAGCAGACTCCAATATTACATGTAAACAATGAAGTTGAGGGAAGGGCAAAACAAACATGCCCCGGAAGGCCTTGGCCACGTCTGAATCTTCCACCAGAGAGACACGCATAAGAGATGTGTGAGGGGTTGAATTGCATGCATGAGTATATACTCCTAGGACTATAGGATATGTTTGTAATGTGTGCTTAAGTAAATTTGTGGTATATTGGCAGGATCCAACATATCCGAAGGGCAGCATCTGGCAAGGGAGAAGACATTGAAAGTGAGTGGTAGAGTTTGTATAAGTGCATAAGCTTGGGTACAGACAGCTTTCTCTACTACACCTGAGAAGGGATAAAATATTGTGTGACTATAAAAGTCGCTGATCATGGTACATGGCTCCTGTAGTACTAAAGTAAAATACCACAGTGTGTTGTGTAATTATGCTGCTAGCAATTATATTAACGCTCGGCGCGCATGCGCAGGGAGGGTTACGGTACTTGGTTCGTGAGTGTGTTTGTCCGTTCGTCTGTTACCACGTTTTCTTCGACTACGCGCAACGAGACAACGAAATTGCGACACCAACAGCTACACTGGCCTCATTGTAAAAAAGGCGATTTTGATGTAACTTCTGCGTTCAAAAGTTATGGCGTGAAAGGCAGGTGAACAACCCAATATGCAAATTAGACTCGACAGCGTCCGCTCGCTCTGTGTATCTTGAAGGCACAAGAAGTCATAACTAAGGACGTGTATCGACTCCCACATGCTATCTACTACTGTAGCTAACCCGTGTCAGACTGTCTGTGAGCTACTAGCGGGATACCACGAGTAAAGGCATACTAAAAGCCCAGCCCATCAATTAGTGGTATATACCGCGATGCGCAATTCACCGAGGGTTTGCACTTTACTTCTTTCATTTTGTACGCATTAAAAATGATATATTGTGGCCATGTATTTTGTGGCCTAAGAGCGACACCAAACGCTTCAGTGGTACAAGTGCATGAAAAGTAAAATGGCGTTTTTTCCTGAAACGACTGCGTTCGAGAGATATGCCGTGAAAACCAGCGAAAAAGCCAATATGCAAATTTGCCAGGCTTACGTACCTCGACCAGGTCCGCTTGCTGTGTACCTAAGAAGAGGGCGTGTATCGACTTTCGCATGCTATCTACTACTGTAGTCAGACTCTCCACAAGCTACCAGCAGGAAACCGCAAGTAAACGCATACTAATAGCTCAGCCCAACAATTAGCGGTATCGTGCACGCGCAGCTCGTCGAGGATTTTGCACTTTAGTGCTTTTCATAGTGGAGGAAATGAAAAGGACATTCTGCTGTGCATAGACGGTACACATTAGTTACCAGTAATGTTTGATCTAGTGACTTCAATCCTTACCATTGTTGTGTGCATATATATGTATGTATATGCAGGTCGAAAACTAAAGGCTGCCAGGTGTTCTGTTCGTCATCGCAGCAGGCAAAATGTGTATGTTATAATATACTACCGCTTTAACACAGTGCATAGGTCAGATGAAGTATTTGCATGTGTAATATATGTATAGATGGAAATAGGTGTAAACGTCTATGAATCTCTGCTCAAAAAAAGAGAGCATTAGCAACAGCAGTGAGATGTCAGAATGAGAAGAGACTCGTTCTTCAGCTGTAATCTTTGGACTATGGGAAGCAAGTATTGCTTACGTAGGTCCATAGTTTGCGTTACAGATGTCTAAGTTCTAAACAAACTTGTGGATCAATTACCTCGTTCTTTAGTTATGGGTGTTTAACCTTAAGAAGTAGTAGGAGAAGACAAACAAAACTCGCTTTTTAGCCCTCTACATCAAAAATGCTATCTCTGTCGTACCGTACCCACTACTGATACAGGAACCAGTGTTGCACCAGATGACATTGTTAAAAACATCTCTACATTCACAGTTCTGTAGCTTCACACATATAGAAGTACTTGTGGATCAATTATCTCGTTCTTAAGTTATGGGTGTTTAACCTTAAGAAGTAGTAGGAGAAGACAAACAAAACTCACTTTTTAGCCCTCTACATCAAAAATGCTATCTCTGTCGTACCGTACCTACTACTGATACAGGAACCAGTGTTGCACCAGATGACATTGTTAAAAACATCTCTACATTCACAGTTCTGTAGCTTCACACATATGGGAAGTACCAGTGTAGCTCTGTAGAGTGTTAACCGTTGTCAAGTACAGCCTGTATGATAATGCATGCGGTTTTTGTCAGTGGTACCGGTAGCAAGAGAAACTTCCAGAAGCCCAGCTGTCTACGCCACCTACAGTTAGCACCTGGACCTACATTACCAGACCTACATTGTCACCTGGGTGTTTATCTAATTCTATCTCCACAAACATTACCACAACACGATCACCACCTATATAATGTGTGAGCATTCTGTAAGATGAGACATTGAGTCCAGACACTCTCGGCGTCTAGAACGGCTGCGACCGTTCTCTTGGACCGCGCACTACATTGGCGTAGTCGGCAGTCGGCAAGAAGCAATGGCTACTTGTCCCGTCGTCACTCCCGAGCTATATTCTGGAGAGGGACCATTCGAAGAATGGCTCTACCATTTCGACAGTGTGACAAGGATTAACGAGTGGAGCGATCAGGCATCAGCACAGTGGTTGTCCGTCCGATTAGTCGGCCGCGCAAAGGCGGCATACAGACGACTCCCAGAGGAAATAAGGGGAAACTTCGGCCGTGCGAAAACCGCCTACTCCACCGGTTCGAACCTGAAAGCAAGCGCAGCCTGTACGCAGCAGAGTTCCAGGCGCGCTGCAGACTATCGTCAGAAGACTGGTCGACCTTCGCCGACGACCTGAAACATCTAGTGGATAAAGCGCTACCGGACCTCGACGACAACGCTC